GCATGCAGAAGACTGCAGCCACCGAGAGACCTATCAGGTGGAGAGGCTAGAGGCAAAGCAGTGTGATAGAGAACTGGGGGAGATAGAAGGAGGGTTGAGTGGTGGAAGTAGTGCAGACTCAAAGTGCTGCAATGTTTACTGGTTTCAAGGTGTAGAATTTATTACCGTCAACGCCAATCCATAAAATGCATCTTGTCTCCTTCGCCTCCTCATACGCATGTATTTGCCACAGATAATTGCGACTTTTGCGCCGGCGAGAGTGCAATGCAGGTACCGGCACTTGTAGCTGAGCCGACGAAAGCAATTTTGAATGCGCGAATGGAGTCTGCGAAGACTCGTGAAAGCGTTCATACACCTTTGCATGCAACCCTTTCCAGAGGGCAACCCATCAACATTGTTCAATCTCGGTGGGAGCGCAATCATTTATGTTGTTCCCATGATCGTGCGAAGACGTGGGTCATGCACAGCAACTAGGCGTTCACAACGAAGTCCTCTACGAAGTCCAAGCAGCGGCAATTGGTGGCGCATAGAGGTTGATGGACAGGATGAGGTTAGTTGGCTGAGTGTGTCGTAACCAGAATGGTTTTGGTGTCGCAACGAAAAATCAACAAACCGAAAGTCTACATAGCCAAGCCGTGACTACTGCTAATATGAGAGTTAACCGACTGCATCTCCTCCTCAATGCTAGCTTTGATCAGCCCCACTTAGCAATCCCTAGCGTAACTAGCAGTTGGGAAATGCACATGTGTAAAGCATGTTTCCTACGGAGAGGATGCTGGTCACTGCAGTGAGCTATCGCTGACTGGCCATTCTTTTGCTATCCTTTCAAACATTCGTATAACTATCTCTAATTCAGTTAAACCATTCAATTTGTATTTGTGTTCCGCTTCTTTTCAATTCTTCAATCATATTCTTAAGCGTGTCATTGAAGTAAATGGGCATCGTTCTCCACTACTACACGGTGGTGGGGTAGTAAGCAATGGGCTACCAGCATTGGGTGGGCACAGCTATTGCTACTGCTACCACGATTGTCTTCGCACATAGCACTTATTCTGCCAGCATCACATCTCCTCGTGTTTTCACTAGTTGGACAATCAGGTCAGCACAACACCTGAGCCAACCTTGTCTTCAACCTCAATGCGATTATTGAAGCTAATAAAACGTGACTGCAGCTTCCATCTGCCCACGTTTGAACGACGGTAGGGTAAACGGTCTTTGAGCTGACCCAACAATCTTCAGCATCATCTCACAGGTAAGGTAATTTGTCGCATCAAGTGTAGCAGTAATGTGGCACTTGCTGTGGAGAATACCTTTCGGCTATGGCATCACTGATGTTTCAAAGTTGACTGAACTGGAGCCAAGTGACTGGAATGCCCTTGTGGCACCTAGAGTGCATTGCAGATGACGACTGGAGGGGGAAATCATCCCCAGGGCACATGAGATCGCATGAGTTTGCGTTATGTTTTCGTCACCCACTCTCCCAAATTACTTTCCAACTCACTGCGAATAGAGGGTTTCAGATACTGAAGGGGGGCTGATTAGGCGTGGCTAGTAGCATGGCATGTAAAGTGTGCTAGAAATAGGGGAATGGTGTGCACTTTGTTGGAGTAGAAGGACTAGGCTGCTCCTTCTTCCGACTGACTAACGAAGTCTTCAAGTGCACCAAAGCAGGATGTGTCTCACCCAACTTTCTAAGCACACCTTCGAGGGGGCAAAACTCTGCACATTATTTCCACTGCACCTCTACATTCTTCGCACCTTCGTGCTCAGGACGAAGAAGTGTTTCGTTGACGCATTCGTTGGTGTCAGCAACCAAATCAATGGACACATTCAGTAGCACCGTTTAACCAACAACATAGTGCCACATTTTGCCGTCCGTTCACATCAATTCGCTCCAAAGTGTACTCGAAATTCTCCCCCAACAACTGCCACGAGGGAGATCGAATAAAACGACCCTCTGCGGGAACTTACGACCCGTTGAAATTCCCCCCTTATGGCTATACTGAAGGACAGGCCATGGGGAACCAGGGCAGAACAACACAATGACTCAATCAGCTTGTCAGGCTGGACGTAGGATCAAGGTTGCTGAGCACAAGCGGTAGTCGACGGCAGAACATACACTTTGCTCCCACGAGGCCCGGTTTGAGGACCAAAGTTTGGAGTGATAAATAGTGGAGAGGGCGCGTGTTCCACTTAGCAAATCTTGCACGACAGATGAGCGCGGACTGCGAGTTGACACGAAACACTCCGACAGACAGTAGCATCAGCCTTGAGGTACAAATCGCTCAATCCCGACCTAGAGACGTCTTCCATTGTGAGACTCCTACTGCAGTGCCAAGACTTCTGCACGTCTACACTTCATCGGTCACAACCTCCAACACCTGTTTACGCTCGGTGTCTACTGCTTGAGGAGTGAGGCATTGACTCGCACTCTTTTCCTGCTCCTTCGCACTTCATCCACCGTCTGCGGCCACACCCATAGCCAGTAAAGAGTAGTAGCACAAATGCACAGTCTGGAGCTCTATGCACCTGAGCGCAAACCACTGTGAGGAGGGCATCGTTGCAAAGAATGCCATAATATGGACCAATGTGGGCTAAACAACAGGGTGTTCAGAGCAAGCAAAATCGGCGATGTGGTGGA